CCCTCTGTCACATATTTAAATTTGTTTTAATTCATTTCCTGACATCAGAAGATCAAATCTTTATATTTCATACAAACACAAAAACAGGTCAAATTTTTGGTAAAAAATTCTTTTCACACCAAAGTGTTTTTGAAATGACATCAAACTCCAGATTCTTAAATTCTGAATTAAAACTTAGATCTAGATCTGATTCTAATTTCCTTCGTTGTTAAAGCTGAAATCATAGCTCAGTGTGACATCACACTCTTCATCCTGTTTTCCTAAGTGTGTTAAAATTCTTCATATCATAACCTTTGATCACTTTAATCCAAAATCAGAAAATTAAACTTCTGACCAACGGACCCCCACCCTCCTACAACAGAAATGTCAACAGTCACTTCACACAGAGGTTCTTGTCCAGCAGCCCTGGACCCGTCCCTGGTGAGCAAAACCCTGGTCAACACTAGTTGAAACAACTGATGCTGAAATCATCATTGTAACATAGTGTTACTCAGAAAATCACAATTGTGATGTAATAAGATCATTTATGTATGTTTTAACTTTTATTTACCATGAGTATTTTTATTTTTGTCATTTCTAACATTTTACATATGTTTTCTTTTCCTGGTGAAAATGGCCTCCTACAGTTTCGGTCTTTATTTTCCCTCTGTGTCTGATGGGAGCTGATTGTGGTTTTTTAACAGTCCAACAACATGCGACATCATTAAAGTTTCAAACAGAAAGAGGAGGAGAAAGAAAAAAAAATTAAAGCTGTTCTCTGAGCTTTTTGTAATATAAGCCCTCCTCGTTTTACACTGAGGCAGACGGACAAGGCATTGGAAAAGATGGGATTCAAACTAGTATTCTACTCTGATTCCTCTGAGTGTCTGAGGTTAGTGTGAAGCACATTTTAATGTTATAGATTTGATACAGTTTCCACAAACTGACCACAAACTGTTTGAAATGGATCTGAATCCTGTTTCTTATCAGTGGAGCTGTGTGCTGAGTTGTGACATGGACTGTGGATGTCTGTTATTGCTGAAAGCCTGAGGTAAATGGAGTACAGTATCACTGACAACCTGTCTTCCATCACTGTTAACTTGTGACAAAAATTATACATTACAAGTAAAATTCGTTTTTTCAATATGTTACATAAATAAAAATACAAGAGGCTAATCAGGAAAATGTATCAAAAGTAAAAGAGCTGGATGCAGGAAAATGTCAGTGTTGTTTATATCATTAGATCATTATTACTGATGCATTAATATGTGAAAAACATTTTACTGTTGGAGCTGATTGTAACTATTCTGTTTACAGCTTTTTCATAAATTTCAGAAATCGTGAGAAAACAGTGAGAAATGCCATCACAGTTACCAGAGTTCAAACTGAAACCTTCATGTTGGTTTTGTCCGACCAAAAGTCAAAACCTCAAAATTATTAGAACCATGAACCATGAAATAAATTATTTAAATAATCATCAGAAAAGTTTAATTTTGTGTGAACTAACTAATGGTTTTCTTGTCTTGTTAACCGTCAGAAACAGCAGCTGTCAAGTTTATTGATTGATTTCCCTCTGACATGAGGTTCAAAGTATAAAATACCTGAAAACTTCACGTCAGTAAACACCTGAACTACTGGCTGATTTAATCACCGCTCGGACGGCACGCTCTGTGAGACAACTCGAGCGCATCCACGGTGTATTTGCGCGGGGGTACAGGTGCATTCTGGGTAGAGTTAAAATGTCGGTGGTGGTGATTGAATCTGCAGACAGGTGAGCGCGGTGTCACTTGAACCTGAGGGGTGTCACTACATCAGAGGGATTCAATTGTGTTGAAGGAGCGCGAGGCAGCGCGGGAGTTTAAAGACTGAGTGAGACTGTGAGGGAGGGACTGACGCTCAGACAGGTGAGTAACAACACACCTGACACCTGACACCTGTGGGCGTGACGTTGTTGCAGACAACAGGAAAAAATGACATGAAGAGGTCTGTAATCATTGTGTGAATGGGCTGACAATGTAGTGGTCATGTGTATGTGTGTAATGTGTATCGGTTGTGTGTTGGTTATGTGTTGCTGTACACACAAGTTTCTGGACATTTTGGGGCCCGTGAGGCGTTCACTGACTTTATAAAAACTCAGTTACTTTTATATTATTCTGTGTTGACACCAACATCCCCAAACGTCTTAAATGAAAACTCGACTTCTTCTGGTTTTAGTCATGTTCAGGATCTGGTAAAGAGGATGGGTATGTGACTCAGACATCATCAGATGATTGATCATAACATCAGTGTATCCCAAACACGGATTTATGTGTAGTGGCCCGCAACATCAACACTGTCTGCCACATGTTGATTTTCCATCTTTATACTGTTTCAAATGGTGAAATCTTATTTTGTTGTAGAGTATTATTTCACTCAACTCCTTTTTTCCTCTGTGTTGTTGTTTGGTGTCTGACAGTTTTATCCTCTCATCCTGAACAAACTCGATTTTATTTCAACTGTAGTTTTTTTTACAGTTTAAATGAAGAGCAAATGAACTTAAACCTGAAGATTCCCCATTTAAAATAAACATAAACAGCTCAGCAGCGGTAAAACTGGTTTAGACAAAGATGGGACATTCTGTCACAGGAGACAGATCTGCTCTCAGTCCATCACTAACTGCAGCAGTTTGTCAGAATAAAACTTCCTGTAGTTGAACAGACCTGCTGTTGTTCTTCATAGTGAACTATTATTTTTAATAACCTGCTGTAGTTTAAGGTAATAAAGTGCAGTGGAGGTTTTTAACTGTGACATACCCAAGTGACAGACTCACAGCTAGCAGAAGCCAATGTTAGCATCTTAAAAGAATCATTCAACATTTCGGGAAATATTTTTATTCTCTTTCTTGCAGAGAGCAAGATGTTCAGGTACCAGTCTGATGTGTATGTTCAGCACAGAGCTGGAGTCAGGACGTGGTTAGCTTAGCCTAGCATAAAGACTGGACACAGGGGGAAACAGCTAGCGCAAGAAATAGTTCCTGCACAAACTCTCCTTCAAACAAGAACCTGAACTTTATATTTCTCTTTGTATTTAATAAAAACAAGCAAGATATGACGTGTTAGTCTGTGAGATTTAGAGATGCTGGGCCCAAGGCCACCAGAGACCCCAAAAGCCCCAGGTTCCAGGAGTTGAATCTGGCCCCTGGTTTCCCCCCTGCTTCCGGTCAGACCACATCTTGACTCCAGCTCTGTGCCGAACACACATGTGAATAAACGTGTCTCCACATTAACGTTAACTTGTTGGTTACAGGGAGGTGAACTGACTCTGGTCCAGCTCAGACTGGAGCCAGAGAATCAGACCCCATCAGACTGCTTCAGTCAGCCGGCTCCTGGAGTTGGTCCTCCATGATCCAGTGATAACAGAGTTAAATCCTGTTCAGACGTCAGTGCTTCCTGGGCCTCTTTGGACCAGAACCTGATTTATCAGACCCTCGTTAGAATCAGAGTCCAGGATCCATGATCCTCTGATCAGCTGCTGATCAGAACCGATCGGAGGATCGATCACAAGCAGAGTCTGAGAAAATGCATAGAAGTCAAAATCCAATGCCCTAAGAGAGAGCAGGCTGAGGGGTGGGGCTAAAGGGGCAGCACAGGGGTTTGTGGGAGTTGTAGTTTAACAGCTGTGGGTGTGTGAAATGTAGGCAGACACAGAGAGGAGGTGAAGACATGACAACAGTGTGTGTGTGTGTGTGTGTGTGTGTGTGTGTTAGTTACAAGCCATGTGATTAAAAACTGTATTCTGTACACATGAATTCATCATGTGTTTTTTCATCAGGATTTTTATTGTGTGTGTGACTCCTGATGTCTCACTCTGTTGAGTTGTTGAACTACAGAAACTCTGCTTTGACCGTATGGTGGTGTTACGGAGTGATGCTTCTTTTAACTCATAAACAATCTTTGGTACAGACGCACAAACAAACAAGTGTCATGTTCTTTGTTCATCACGTTAGAAATAACATTAATTAATGGCATCATTAACAGCTGATGTCAGCACTCGATAAACATAAGGGGCTGCTGCCTGCAGGTTTCCCACAATGATGATGATGAGGATGATGATGATGATGATGATGATGATGAGGATGAGGATGATAATGATGATAATGATGATGATGAATCACTCAGAATCACAACAGTGGTGACTGATGCTTCCACGTCATTGGCTGACAGACCTAAACTGTTGTCATTCAGTCATGTTACCTTTTACCTGGTCTAGTAGCATCTGCATCGAGGAACCTTTCACATGACTGTTACCAAGCTGTGATGTCATATCAGTAGCTGATATATTATCAGCTGATTATTATTGACAGCTGAAGCCTTTTTACAAATACCACATGAGAACTGGTTCTGAGGGGGGACGAGTCTAAATAAGTGAAAACAGATGCTGCATTTCTGAGATCAATACTAATATCGATATCTTAAAAAATCTGATGAATACGAATATGATTTTCAGTTTTTATTTCTGGATAAACTTCATCCAGAGTGCAGTAAAAAGTAAAAACCTGAATCAGAACAGGATTTGCTGTGACCCCCCCCCCTTTGCCTTTAAACTAGCTCCAGTTCTCCTCAGTACACCTGCTCACAGTTGTTCCAGCATCTTGGAGAACCTGCCTCACTTCTTGTGTCTCAGGGTCTCTGTCTCTTCATGTGATCCAGACTGGCTCCATGATGCTGAGATCAGGACTCTGTGGGGGCCAGACCATCTGCTGCAGGACTCCTGGTTCTCCTGGTCTCTGGAGATAGTTCTTTATGTTTGGACTCGTCATGCTGTAGGATGAATCTGGACCAATCAGACGCTTCCTGATGGAGAAAAGTCTGAACATCTAAACAGACTAAAACCTGTTTGTTCTGCGTATAAATAAAAATTAATTAATTACTGATAATTATCTCAATTATTGACCCATTATTTAGTTTATAAATGTTGCATAAACCTGTGTCGACTTCAAACACACTCAACACATCAGAGTGTTTCACTGTGTGACGCTGGTCTGGAGTCAGTTTTTCATGCATCAGGTGTGTTAAATCTCTGGAGGCTGAAATTCACAGTGAAAGAGTATAAATTTATTAATGAACATGAAGTTCATGTTTAACGATGCATTTCATTAGTACAAACAGGAAACTCCTTCTTCTTTGTTATTGTGTCTCTGACGTTTCTGAAGCAGCAGAAGAAGAAATGATCAGTTTTCCTTCTCTTAATGGAAGCAGACCCAGATCTGGGTCCAGGTCCCACCACTGCTCAGGAAACAGATGAGACGATGTTCAGTCATAAAGTGTCTGTCAGCACACCTGTCACCTGCTGAAGAACAGACTCATCTGAAACCCGTCCAGACGACATGAGGTTCATTTCACTGAGGTTTACGACTAATCCGCAACTCACGTGTCTCAGATATGACGCTAAAACTATTGATTACTTTTATTATTGATTAATCTGCTGAATATTTGCTTGATTAATCTATTAAAATGTAGAAAACTGAGAAAAACAACTGTGAAGTTTCATCTTCACACATCTTGTCTTTTTTTGTTTTGTCTGGACCAACAGACAAAATCTACTGCAAAACATCAGATCCTCACTGTTCAGAAGCTGCAACAAGAGAATTTCTGCATTTAAAAATGGCTAAAATGACTGAATCAATTATCAAAATAGCTGCTGATTAATTTTTCTGTCAATCAATGAATCAGTTAATTGACTAATTCATCTCCGCTCAGACAATCTGCAGATGAATCCATAATGAAAATAATCGTTAGCTGTTTTATAAATAAAGATTTACTTCATTAAAAAATAAATCAGTTGAGAGAATAATTGGCAGATTCATGGGTGATTAGAGTCGTTAGTTTCAGCCTTAATGTGAAACACAACAGAGACGAGATGGAGACATGTCCAGATGACATGAGGCTTGTTTTGGTTTTATTGATGCTGTTTGTTTCGTCTCTGACTCTGAGACGAGAACCGATCTTCAACTCAGAGAAAAACAATGAGGCACAAACTGGGCTCAGCTCAGAGGGGACATGGAGGGGTGGGGTGGGGGACAGGTGGGGGACAGACAGGTGGTGGTGTGTGGTGGTGTCTCTGCAGCCTCGGTCTCAGTTTGCAGGACGAAGGCTGAAAATAAAATGAGGCACTTGTTATGATCCAGAGCTGCAGGTCGTCTGCCATGTTGGCCACAAGGTCCTGCTCCACCGTGGCTGTTGCTATAGAAACGGGTCATCCATCCTGATGACCGTGTTGCCATGGCAATGTTTATGTTTATTGAAAGCCAACAGGACCACAGCTGGATGTGACGTGTGTGTGTGTGTGTGTGTGTGTGTGTGTATGGCTCTGTTACATCAAGTTTTTTTTTTTCTTTTTTACAAGCAAGCAGGCAAATCAGATCATCTCTGGTCCTATTTAATCTCTAATAATAGTAATAATAGTAGTAATAATAATAATAATAGTGTCATTGAGCCTTTACATGTTCAGCTTTATAAAAATAAAAAATCATTCCAGTGATATTCACATGCTCAGATTACACAGAGAGAGAGAATCACAAACAGAGCCTTCATCCTGGTGAAGGTCCACATGTTGTTTGCATACGATTTAAAGTTAGAAAGATGCAGATGAGGATGATGAAGGTGACGTACACCAGGATCCTGTATCAGCTCAGTCTGGCTCTCTTTGGGTCTCCAGACCTCACCGAGGCTGGACTCAGTGATCCTGATAATGAGTGGTGTCATGAAGCTGATGAAGAGTGGAGGTCTTCATCACAGCTGAAAAATGATTCTTTCATCTCACATAATTATCTTGGGATTCAAAGAGATTCCACTGACCTATAAAAATATCTGTTGTTCTCTATGACATATCACTTTATTAAAAACTTTGTACTTTTGTCATTGTCCAATAGGAATGATGACTCAGCTTTCTCCAGTAATCTGATTGCTCAAATTAATCTGGTCTGGAGACGGGCCGCATTTCATCTACTCCAGTTACTATTTGATGTACCCCGGTTACTATGGCGATCAACTCCAGTTACCATGCTGATTTCTCCCAGTTAAAACTGTACCAGCTTCATGACACCACAGTCTGAGTTCATCCCAAAGAGAGCTGAGAACTGACCTCATGATACAGGTCTTAGGACGCACTGAGGGATGATGGGTATAATGACAGTAAAACTGGCGGCTCTGTGTGCAGCTGTTATGTCACTGGCCAATCAGAGGCCTCAAAACCCACCCGGCCAATCAGAAAAAAGTCCTTGTCTTCTTGCGTCTCATCTTTCAATCAGAAATAGAATTGCCTGTTATCATCCAATAAGATGCAGGAAGAGGCGGGGTTTTATCTCTCAGCAGGCCAATCAAAGAAAGCCCTTATAAGTGGCCAATTAAAAAAAAAAGAAAAGAAAAGAAAAAAGAATTCAGTGAAAAAAGAGATCGTCCTCACTGCTGGCCAATCAGAGAGAGAGCCCGGCTGCTAGTTCCCGCCCACCGAGCCGACTGCCAATCAGAACCTGTGTCAGTCTCTGCGGGCTGGGCTTCAGCCAGGGGCCCGGGGTGTTCCCCTGTCGCCCTGGTGACTCGCCTCTCCTCCAGAAAGACTCCTCCCTCCACCCCGTCGTGGCAATGCTGGCAGCTGATAGGCTGACTTCTGAGTAACTGGCTGCTGATTCGCTGTCGGACTGGTGCTGGCGTTCGTCGTCATCATCGTCCATCGGCATGAGGAAGGAAAACACTGCTCTCTGAGCTGCACCGGTGCTCCCAGAATGCTTTGCGTGGCTGGTGGCGCTGTCGTCTCTGTCCTCTCTCTCATCCTCCTCCTTTCTGGTGGCCTCTTTCTCCTTCCTCCTGCTCTTCGTCTCACTTCTCCTCCTCTCCCTCGCTCCGAACTCCTCCACCCCTTCCTCTGGCAGCGACGTGTCCCAGGATTGAGCACCGTTCCTGGGTAAGCTCCGGCTCCTCCTCCCCTGCTCCCTCTGGTCATCCCGCTTCTTGTGTCTGACAGTCTGACTTCTCCTCCTCCTCCTCTCCTCTTCTTCCTCCCTCCTTCTTCTCTCATCCTTTGCCTCTTCCTCTTGCCGCTTCCTCTCCTCTTCCCTCCTCCTCTCCTCCTCCTCCTCTTCCCTCCTCCTCTCCTCCTCCTCCTCTTCCCTCCTCCTCTCTTCCTCCCGTGCCTCCTCCTCCACAAGGTCCAGGTCCAGATCAGGAGGCCCTAACCCTCCTCCTCCTCTTCCTCCTCCTGTTCTTCGTTTGGTTTCTCCCTCTCTCCTCCTCCTCCTCTCTCCTCCTCCTTCTCCTCCTCCTGTACCACCTCCTCCTCTCTTCTGCTGGCTGAGGGAGGCAGTTGTCATGGTAATCGTATCCACATCTTGCTCCTCTGTGTGTGAAGAGGGGGAAGGGGAGAGGGCTCCTTCCTCAGGGCCTGAGACAAACAGAAATAAAGAGTATTAAAGAACAGTTCCTCTAACGTCCACCAGGTGGTGCTGTGAGAAAACCTGCATGAGTTCAGCTCTCAGCAGATTCCCTGAGCTTCCTCCTCTGTCAGTCTGAGGGAGACTTTCACAATACATGTTCCACTGAGATCATTTAATTTTAAACACTGGACCCTGAGGCCAGCGCTCACTGTGAGGCAGATTAATATTGATTTTGTGCTGTGTGGAGTCAGATGGGGCTGCAGCGTTGATCCCCGTCCTGCTCTCAGACTCTGTGTGTGGACAGAGACTCCCCAGGCCTCCCCAGTCCCCTTCAGGCCTCTCATGGCCCCTCCAGGCCCCTCCAGGCCCCTCCAGGCCTCTCTGGAGAGAACAATGCTGAACTGTTCTCTGTGGTTTGATCTGTTTTCAACAGACTCTAATCTGAGTCTGATAATGAGACTCTGTTCAGAGCGACTGAGACCAGCTGGGTCATAGACACAGGACGTCCTGTCTGCAGCTTCACCAGGTTAAAATTGAATGTCACTGTCAGACTGGTCAGTGAATGAGAGAGTGATGGAAACCAGCAGGAACCAGAATTATGTTTTATTATCTTCATACTTCTAATAACTAATTATATTATTATATATATTACTAATGAAATGAACATGTAACTACTTGTTACATGTTATTATATAATGCTGCATGTAACTAATGTGCTGTGGAGTGCAGCTAAAAATACCTGATGAAAGGATGAAGGTGAAGGGATGAAAATAAAAGGATGAAGATGGATGAGAGTGAGAGTGAAGGAAACAAAAGAAGAGCAGAGAGTTACCAACCGCGAGTTTTCAGTGCGTCCGATCACGTAGAAACAGGGTTCACCCTGTTTAGAGTTGGTCATACAGAGAGACAGGCTGGACAGCTCCACTGAGGAGGAGGAGGAGGAGCAGGAGAAGGATGAAGGCAGCAGGAAGTACAGGAGGAAGGAAGGAGGAAGTCAAAACAGAAAGTCAAAACAGAAAGTCAGACAGTGAGAGCAGAGACCAAAGAAACTAGAAGAAGAATAGAGGTTTATATAGTCCTGAATCATCATCATCCTCATTTCTCATCTGAAGATTTTCTTTTAAATTCTTAAAATCTTTTATTTTGCTGATTCATGAGTTCATCAGACACAGGAAGTGATTCTTCATCAGTGGACTGTAAAAAAAACTGTCATTTAAAGTCTTAGAAACTTAAATTAGCAGTGTCTTAAGTAAAAATTAAAATTCTGTCAATAAATCAAACTCGTTTGTCAGGATAATGAGAGTTTACTTCATACTTATTTACACTGTAAAACCTCATCGTCGTGTTATGAAGAGATCACAGCAGGATCATTTGTCTTGTTGTAAGACGTGAACCTTTCCTTTAAACTCAGACTAGTTCTGTGCTGTTGTGAGTAAAGTAGAGATCATTGTTGTGGTGAAGGAGGTTAAAGGTGAAGCTGAGCAGCAGCAGGAAGTCTGACACACTCCTGATCGACATCTGTCAGCTGATGTGTGTGTGGTCTCACCATAGTCGGGTACGTATCCGTTCCCCTTCTTGAGGACGAGGTGGATTCGATGTCCTCCTCTTCTGATCTGCTCCACAGCCTGACTGTGAGTCATTCCTGTTGTGCTGTCTCCATTGATCTCCACCAGCTGATCAGACACCTGACGACACAGGTAAGCCTTCATTAAACACCACAAACAACAACTTCAAGCTGTCACTTCTAATGTGTTGGTGCTGCCTCCTGGTTCTTATTTGAGTCCTGTCTGTATTTGATGGAGTACGGTGGCCTGGAGGTGTCATTTTATCTGTGGTTAAAACATCTGCGGACTGAATCATGATGAAATGTTCCTCATCTCCTTCCTGCACCCTCAGGTATTAATGACACATCACTTCACTCTGTCAGTAGTGAAATATTTAAGGCTCAGAGAGCAGAGTGGTGTAACCAGCTGGGATGTTGAATGTTTGATCTTCAGAATCTCAAAGACGGAATCCGAGAACCTGAGACTCATAAATACTTCAGATGATATTAAATCATAAAGGAGGTCTGAGTCCTGCTATCAGGTCCCTACTGGTCTCTACCGGAGGGGAAAATATAATCCACAAATTTTTTTCCAGTCAGTCTCTGTACCGACCCTCTGTCTGGTCACACGTTTTATAAAGATTCATGTGAGCAGACAAAGATAAAGCTGGGACATGGAGAAGACTGAAAGGCCACACCCCCACAAATACAGTCAGAATAAAAATATAAAAACCTGTGGTGAAGAAATGTTGGAAACAGATCGAAGTGCTGCTGAGGAACATCAGCAAGACTTCTGCAGCTCCTTCAGAGTAAACTCCACAGAAGAGAAGGATCTGAAGGAAGATTCAGACAGAGGAGACGTGTATGCATGTGTGTGTGTGTACGTGTGTACATGTACCTGTATCTTGTTGCTGCGTTGGGCCGGCCCCCCCTCCATCAGTCCCAGTACATACAGTCCCATGTTGTACTCACTGCCCCCCCTCAGAGAGAAACCGAAACCTGTAGGACCTCGTTCCAGATCCACACTGTAGAACCTGGACTCATCCTGAAGGACAGAGACCGAGGACAAGACTAGCACTGGTACTACAGATACTACAGATACTACAGATACTACTACTGTACTGTGTACTGGTACTACAGTACTGTAAGACTGGAGGTAATTAATTAAATAATAAAATAAATGTGAGAGTGACCTTTGACCTCCCTCTGGATCCTTTCATCAGTCGGCCATCAATGTCCAGGTCTGCTCCTTCTGACAGACCGGAGGAGTCTGAGGTGGAGAGGAGGCAAGGAGAGAGGAGACAAGGAAAGAGGAGGCAAGGAGAGAGGAGAGGAGTAAATGTATAAACTTGTGTTTTATAGTTGGAAATAACATCAGACTCTCGTCTCATGTTTGTGTTTGATCTGAGACAAAGATGGAAGGAAAGTTATGTCGTTGTTCAAACTCCATGAGATTCAGTTTATCATATCATCCATCAAAATAGTTATTCATTGTTATTGATCAGTAGTTTTCAGGTGTAGTTGTCAAAAGTCATGATACTCCACAACTGAAGGCTGGTTCAGGGACGTGTGTGTGTGTCTGTGTCGTACGGTGTCTGGGTGTGATGCTCAGTCTCAGGGTGTTCCCGGCCCTCCTCAGGATCTGGGCCAGGTCTCGGTGCTGCAGACCTCCGACCGGCCGAGCCTCCACTGCCTCCAGCTGGTCTCCGGGCTGAATCTGCCCGCTGCGAGCCGCCGGGCTGCCGCGCCGCACCGTCACGAACCGGTGAGACATCAGGGAGGGGGCTGCAGAGAGAGGAGGGGGAAAGGGGATCACATGGTCAGACATCAGAAAACTGAATCACACCTGTAACCAGATGTGGTCCAATGTCGTCGTTATCATCACAGGGATAAAAAATATGAAAGTCAGAGCAGAGGTTTTCTGGTGATGAAGACTTTTATCCTTCCTCCTCCTCTGCCAGCTCTGTAATAATACATGTGTCTGAGTTGAATAATTGAATCCACTTGGTGTGCCTGGATGAACTAACAGCTGCTGCAGCACATGACGGAGGGGACTCAGCCACAGAGTCAGAGAAACCACAGACACTGAGGAGAGAGAGGATCCTCGATCTGTTAACAGCCTTCACCTGACAGTGAATTGTACTGGTCCTGCTGTCGTCAGAGAGGAAGCAGTGACATCATCATCCTCGTCAACAGAGTGTGTGACTGACTGAAAACCAATCACAACCTCCGTAATCAAAGTTTCTTTAAATCCTGAAGCTTGATACAGAATGAAAGACAGGTGCTGAGGTCGCATGACCAGACAACGAACCAGCTGGTTCTGATGTTGGTGAACTGATGCATGGAAATATACATGACATCATCTTTTTACCTTTGCGTTTTCACTTGTGTTGGCCTTTTTAAAAAGTTCTGAACCGATCTGTGCAGGGTCATGGACCAGGACCAGGGTAATACCTGTTAGATCTAGGTGCAGATCTGGATCATTTACTATAAATTTGAACTTTTTCCTCTGAAGTTTTCTCTGTGTGTTGTCTGACACTAGTCTGAGGCTCTTCTTGTTCTCAGATTATTTGTGTGACAACATCAGGACACTGTCAGTTCAAACATGTTGGGAGGGATTTTTCACTCACTGTGCTTCATCAAGTGTAAAAATAACTGTGCATCACCTAAAGTTTGAGGCGCCTCAACAAAAAAAAAAAAAGAAAATTCTGTCAGTCTGGAAGGTTGTTTAACATCCTGTTTGAGTTTAAACACTTCAGACATTAAAGTAGAATCACCTCCTCCTAGTTGTTTCCTCCACCAACCAGCCGAGTTGCAGGAAACATTATAACGTCACAGTGAAGTTGACCTCAGACCTTTTGGATATAAAATGTCATCACTTCATTTTATCCTTGTTTGTGAGGTCACAGTGACCTCGACCTTTGCACTTTGACCACCAAAATCTAATCAGTTCATCCTTGATCCAAATGAATGTTGAGTGACTGCACATAGATTATTATAGATTGTTGTATATTGTATAGTATAGAGTTAAGTTGCTCTTTATGTTGATCCAGACCAGGATCTCTCACTAACCAGGACATTCTTGTGTCTAAACTTAACTAAACTATAACCATAGAGGCATCAGGTCAGACAGCTGTCATATGAATCATTGCGTCCTGGTTCTGTTTGTGGTTCTGGAGGACTGTCTAGGATCAGTGTGATGGTGTCTCAAGACTCAGTTTGGACCCAGTTTACCTCTGAACTCATTCTTCAGGACTGAATAGGGAGAAAAATAACATTTGTGGGAGTTGGTTCTTACAACACAGACTGCCAAGTTCAACATACACACACACACACACACACACACACACACACACACACACACACACCTCCTGATCCAAACCTCAGGGGAGAGGAGGGAGGGAAATTCTCAGAAAGATTTTCTGGCTCAGAGACTAATCACTGAGAACAAAGACACTGTTCCTGCTCTGAGGTCAGAGGTCACATGACCAACAGACCCTGTAACCACGAACCAGGCAGAACCTGAGACTTACTGAGAGGGATGCAAAACCACCGCAAAGAGATAAAACAGCTACAAAGAAACTCAAGACTGCAATGTACACAGACGTAACTGAACTCTCAGCTGCTGCTGTTGGTTGAAAAGCTGCACCTGAACTTCAACAACAGCTGAATGTGACGATTCATCTCTACACTTTTTAACTAACTTAACTAAGACCAGTGTTAAATGTTTGTGAGGAAGCTGTGATGGATTATCTCTGATTATCTGTTGGATCATCTCCCTGCAGCAGGTTTTAGGTTTCTACTATTTGAGTTTCATAGAAAAGAGGTGAGACCTCAGGTTGTCTGGATCCACCTGAAACTGTTTATTTGTCCTGGTCTTCATAAAGAGTCTGTGCAGGTCTGAACAAATGAAGTGAACTGGACGCAGCAGGATTCAGGTCAACAGGATCCAGAGAACAGACTGAACCAGGAAAAAACATGTTCGCTTTAAAGGACCTTTAAAGTATCAAAGAGTCAAAAGTTTGTGTGTTTAACACTGTTTAAACTGAACACACACATACACACACAAACGGAGAGAGAGAGAGAGAGAGAGAGAGAGAGAGAGAGAAACACACACACACACACACAGAAACACACACATGGTGCAGGGAGGGGAATGTTAGCGTGTGAGCTGATAAGAAAGTGCTGAGTTCAACATGTTCAGAGAGGAGGAGGAAACGTGAAGCTGCAGAGAAATGAAGGAAACAGCAGGAGGAGAGTGTGATGTATTCATCCTGACAGCTGGAGAGGAAACACTGAAACTGTCCCTGAGCCTCTGAAAACACCATCACAGAAAATATCATAAACCATGTGGATCTCGTGTCTGAACGGACCTATGTCACAGTTCTGTAAAACCATGTCGGACCTGAAGAGGATGAAGACCTCAGCAGCAGAATGATGGAGATCACTGTGACACATTTCTTCTCTGATGTGTATGACGTCACTTTAATAAACACAGTGACTGTCACAGAGGCTCCTGTTAGAGACACAAAACCACAACAAAGAGACGTAAACCTGGCTCTGAGCATCAGTTCAAAGATCCACCAAGAAGCTCGTCTAAAGATCATCACTGATTAACACCAACTGTTTCCTGGTGATGTACAGATTCAGCTGCTCCTTTTAGAAAAGAGACATAAACTGAAAGTCTGTTAACCGAACCAGAGCTGGTTTTAAAGAGACGTTACAATACATCCACATCATGAAAAGAACATCAGACAGGACGAAATACATGATAACCTGACCCTGAACCATGTTTAACGCACCCCAGCTTAAACAGGCAAGCACTTCCTGTCAGTGATGCGTTCACTGTCTGAGACACGACCACAAAATCTCTGACTCCAGATCTGCTGCAGATGGAAAACCAATAAAATATTAACCTGTTGAGGTAAATTCAACTTCACGGCTCCTCAAACTGTTTCCCTCCTCTGCTATCATCATCATCATCATCATCATCATCATCATTTTTTTTTAAAATCATGTTTCAGGTATAAGCGATGCTTCCACTAAACAGCATCAAAGTTTTATTTGCCACATGTTACAGTAAATTGTACAGCAAGCAATGCAAAGATTTAATGATATTTTGAAAAATATTGCGGTGGTAAATATGGCCTTCTGTTGTCTCAGAGCGGAATCAGCTGGATTTTAAGAAGCTGTGGATGTTTGTTTTTTTTTAATGACACTGAAGCTGCAGTGAAAACACTGGGCAAGTAAATGACCTTTATCTCACCTGAATGTTCAGGTGAGATAAAGGTCATTTACCTACATTTTACATCCAGCAGCTCCACTGAAGCCCAGTTTACCCTGTGTGTGTGTGTGTGTGTGTGTCTGTGTGTGTGTGTGTGTGTGTGTCCTAGTGAATTCTGTCCAATTTCACAGTACAATAAGCTCAGACTCACCTGTGCTCCAGTTTGTCAGACACACACACACACACACACACACACACAGTAGTATTGTCAACATATGTCTACCTCAGTGTTAGTGAAGCAGTTAGACACATTATCACATTGTTGTGTAACGTATGATCTGAGCGTTAAAACACAACATACAAATACCTTGAATCAGCTGTTGTCGTGTTACACATGTGCAGCCGCAGCCTCACAGCAGCCAGATGGACACAGTGTACAGATACAAAATGATCTGTCACTGATGGAAGCTTTGCAGGTGTTTAGTCACCAGTGTGTTCACATGTGTGATATCGTAGCTGTCAGGCATTCATGATATGTGTGACCGAGAATCACAACTCATCAGCTTCAGGTCTAATTAGCTTCTTGGTCTTAACTGCTGACTAGAGTTAGCTGACTAGCCTGTTCGCTAACAAGATACATCTGACTTAGAGCTGCTGGAAGGTGGATTTCTTTTCTTTTGATAGAGCTAGGCTAACAGTTTCCCCCTGCTTCCAGTCACTGCGCTAAGCTAGGCTGAGCCTGTGCTGGAGCTGGGTCTGTCCCGGATCCACCTGAGGACTGGAGGGTTCACAGAACTAATGGACTGTTTGAACAGATTGTGAAGGGACTTTGGTTTAAATGTGAACGTTCAGTTTGTTGTTTTAACATGAAACCACAGCTGGAGGCGGCACATCTGGACACAAACAGACAGTTCCATCAGTCAGCAGCTACAGGGTCACGTCACTGAGGCTTAATGTTACATAACACACACACACACACACACACATACAGACACTTTATGTCATCAGAAAATTCAAATTTATATCTTATTTTTCACTGAATTTGACTGCAAGTTTACATGTTTGTGTGTGTGTGTGTGTGTGTGTGTGTGTGTGTGTGTGTGTGTGTGTGTTTCCTCTCTGCTGCAGGAACCCAAAAATAGAACAGTGACACACACAGTCCAGTGTATTCAGTGTAATGAGTGCTGAATCTGCCACATGTAATATTCTTCACACACTTTTGGTGTGTGTGTGTGTGTGTGTGTGTGTGTGTGTGTGTGTGTGTGTGTGTGAGAGAGAGTGAACTACATTATTAATCAGAATTTTACCACTTTAAAACACATCTACTCTAACTGACTGTAACCGACATGTTGTTCAAATCCACATGTATTTTAAATTCCAGTGAAGATCATCACATCAAATTTACCTGCCAGGTGCTTTTTCCCAAAATAAGTTTGACCCTCACCTGGAGCAATTTGAGGTTCAGTGTCTTGCTCAAGGACACGAGGAGTTTGGGTCTGAACCAACAACCCTATGTTTAATGAAAATTAAAATGTGTTTTGGAGGAAACTCAAAAAGTTTT